TATAAATTTGTTTCATACTTGAAATTCAAATATGGTTAATGAACATCAGCGCGACTATGAAAATCGCGTGATCGTGCGATGCCCACCGAACAAACTTAGTGTTCTATAAGACGTATGTGTGCGTCACTGTTTCGGCTTTGTTATCCAGAAATACGATTTTAATAATCCTGAAATCAAATTAACCGTGAAATAAGGTTATTTCGTGAGAAACTAAAAACTCATCTCCGGCGGGATTCGAACCCGCGACCTCTGGATTAGAAGTCCAGCGCGCTATCCACTGCGCTACGGAGACATAGGATATCATTGAGTAAAATATTCGAATCTTAGTCAAAGGTGGCATAAAACATACCGTAAACGAACCAACCGCGAAACATTCGACTCAGCTCTTTTTCCTCCCTCCTGTCGCACAACCAATAAAGAGCCATATACATTCTGGGTAAAAAAAAGTTCGACAAAAATACCACCGGAATCTTTTTCGATCCCCCACTCCCGACATTTAAAATGTTCAGTTTTTCGGTTGTCTTACTCAGTTAATAACCTTTTTTATAGAAAACATTTATTAAACAAGATCTTTAAAGACATGATTCTTGAAATGCGAAGAGAACCTATAGCGTTTGCGTGGAAATCGTAGTGGTAACATTCGGAAACTTCAAAAAATCAACAAAATAAGAAATTGTAACTGCATGATGCAAGAACTTACTTTTTATCGCATTTATATTAACACAACATACAAACTCTACTATCGAACAGCAAAAATGTAAAGGTAATAAAAAACGTGATTGACTTCTAGTTTTGAAAATGGAATTCATTTATTTCTTTTCCCAGTGAAACAAATTTACTTATTGACCCTGTTTTCTCAAATTTGGTTAGTTTCGTCATAAGACTGTCTCTCGTAAATTATTCTGGAAAGTGGAGGAGTTTTAAGACCATATGTTCTTTTTTTATTAAATGATTGACATGTTTTCAGCATAAGGTCCAATGGCTAAGACATTATGAGCACAACCGACCTTTAAAACAGCTTCTATCAGAAATTCTAAGAATCATTCAGTCTAGAACATTCCACAATTGTTTTTTGAAAAAAAAATTTAAACCCTTATCTACTTGTTTTTCAAAAATTTTGCGATCACAGATTCGTTTCTGTCTGAAACTAATCTACTATAAACAGCAACCTCCATGCTTTGAAAAAACACTGACTGATGATTCACGCTAAGAAAAAACTTAAATAGTTCAAATTTTAACAGCTTGATTACCTTGCTTGTAAAATTTCAGCTTCTCATGAACCTAATCGGTCTATGGTATAACTTTTTTTTTCAAATTTTCATAAGTTGAATACTTGCTTAGAAAAAATTAAATTTTCACGAAGCGATTTATTTTTTGATGTAACCTGAAATTTCTCCAAGTTTTAAAGCTTGAAAAAATTGCTTTGAAAAACTTCAACTTTTCTTGAACCGATTTGTTCTGTGAAATAGCTAATTTGTAGCTTAATTAGCTTGCTTCAGAAAAACTTATTGATTTACTTTGTGAAATGAATTGAAGTGTTTTGAAGTCTCAACGCTTGCATAGCTTGGATAGCTTGGATATCCAGTCTCAATTCTTGCATAGCTTGGATACGAAAACTTGAGTTTTCGGCAAAACGGTTTGTTCTAAGAACTAACATTGCATTACTTCAACGCCTGAATGGCATCAATAGAAAAACGTGAATTTTTGCCTACCAATATGCTCAAGGAAATAACTTGAAATGTTTCACAGTTTTATCGCTTGAAAAGCTTGCTTCGACGAACTTAAACTCTGCAATAATTTTCAATGATTTCATTGCTTGTATGGCAGATAAAAAAAGCCTGAATTTTTCGCAATTCTATTCGCTTTATGAATTAACTTGAAATATTTCCAGTTTATTTTGCTTGAACAACTTGAATAGGAAGACTCTTTTTTTGCAAAACAATAATTGAGTTTCTTACGATTATATAAATTCAAATATGGATAATGAACGCAGCGCGACTATGAAAATCGCGTGATCGTGCGATGCCCACCCAACAAACTTAGTGTTCTATAAGACGTATGTGTGCGTCACTGCTTCGGCTTTGTCATCCGGAAGTATGATTTTAATAATCCTGAAATCAGACTAACCGTGAAATAAGGTTATTTCGTGAAAAACTAAAAGCTCATCTTCGGTGGGATTCGAACCCGCGACCTCTGAATTAGAAGTCCAGTGCGCTATTCACTGCGCTACGGAGACATAGGATTCCATTGCGTAGAATATTCGAATCTTAGTCAAAGGTGGCATAAAACATACCGTAAACGAACCAACCGCAGAACATTCGACTCAGCTCTTTATCCTCCATTCTGTCGCACAACCAATAAAGAGCCATATACATTCTGGGTAAAAAAAACTTCGACGAAAATACCATTGGACTCTTTTTCACTCCCCCACTCCCGACATTTAAAGTTTTCAGTTTTTCAGTTGTCTTACTCAGTTGATAACCTTCTTTATAGAAAATTTTTATTAAACAAGATCACTAAAAACTTGTTTCTTGAAATGCGAAGACAACCTATTGCGTTTGCGTGGCAAGTGTAGTGGTAACATTTGAACACTTCAAAAAATCAACAAAATAGAAAAATATAACCGCATGATGCGAGAACTTACTTTTTTTCGCATTTATATTAACACAACATACAAACTCTACTATCGAACAGCAAAAGTGTAAAGGTCACAAAAAACGTGATTGACTTGTAGTTTTGAAAATGGAATTCAATTATTTCTGTTTCCAGTGAAACAAATTTACTTCTTGACCCTGTTTTCTCAAATTGGGTTTATTTTGTCATAAAAGTTTCACTCGTAAATTATTCTGGAAAGTGGATATTTGAGTTTTTTACAATTATTTAAATTCAAATATGGATAATGAACATCAGCGCGACTATGAAAATTGCGTGATCGTGCGATGCCCACCCAACAAACTTAGTGTTCTATAAGACGTATGTGTGCGTCACTGCTTCGTCTTTGTCATCCAGAAGTATGGTTTTAATAATCCTGAAATCAGATTAACCGTGAAATAACGTTATTTCGTGAAAAACTAAAAACCCAGATCCGGCGGGATTCGAACCCGCGACCTCTGGATTAGATGTCCAGCGCGCTATCAACTGCGCTACGGAGACAAAGGATATCGTTCAGTAGAGTATTCGAATCTTAGTCACAGGTGGCATAAAACATACCGTAAACGTCCAACCGCGAAACATTCGACTCAGCTCTTTTTCCTCCCTTCTGTCGCACAACCAATAAAAAGCCATATACATTCTGGGTAAAAAAAAAGTTCGACGAAAATACCGACGGACTCTTTTTCACTCCCCATATCCGCCATTAAAAATAGAGTCCCCACACCCGACATTTAAAATTTTCACTTTTTCAGTTGTCGTACTCAGTTGATAACCTTCTTTATAGAAAACATTTATTAAACAAGATCATTAAAGACATGATTCTTGAAATGCGAAGACAACCTATAGCGTTTGCGTGGAAAGTGTAGTGGTAATTTTTTGATTTTTCAAAAAAACAACAAAACAGAATATTATAACCGCATGATGCAAGAACTTACTTTTTTATCGCATTTATATTTACACAACATACAAACTCTACTATCGAACAGCGAACGTGTAAAGGTCACGAAAAATGTGATTGACTTCTAGTTTTGAAAATGGTATTCAATTATTTCATTTCCCTCTGAAACAAATTTACTTATTGAACCTGTTTTCTCAAATTTGTTTAGTTTTGTCATAAAACTGTCACTCGTAAATTATTCTTGAAAGTGGAGGGGTTTTGATGCCATATCTTCTTTTTTATCAAATGAATGACATGTTTCCAGCATAAGGTCTAGTGACTAAGACGCTATTGAGCACAACCGACGTTTAAAACAGCTTCTATCAGAAATTCTAAGAATCATTCAGTCTAGAACAATCCAGAATTTTTTTTTGAAAAAAAAATTGAAACTCCTGTTTACTTGTTATTCAAAAGTTTTGCGTTCACAGATTCATTTCGGTCTGAAATTAATCAACTAAAAACAGCAACCTCCATGCTTAGAAAAATTACTGATTGATGATTCACGCTCAGAAGTTACTTGAATTAGTTCAAATTTTAACAGCTTGATCACCTTGCATATAAAAACTTAATTTTTTTGATGAACCTAATCGGTCTATGGTATAACTTGATTTTTGTTTCAAAATTTCATAACTTGAGTACTTCAGTCTACTTCAGAAGCGATTCAGTCTATGATATAACCTGAAATTTCTCAAAATTTGAAGCTTGAAAAAATTGCTTTGAAAAATTTTTCTTGAACCGATTTGGTCTGTGAAATAGCTAATTTGTAGCTTAAATAGCTTGCTTCAGAAAATCTTACTGATTTACTTTGTGAAATGAATTGAAGTGTTTTGAAGTCTCAATGCTTGCATATCTTGGATACGAAAACTTGAAATTTCGGCAAACCGGTTTGGTCTAAGAACTAACTTTGCATTACTTCAACGCCTGAATGGCATCAATAAAAAAACTTGAATTTTCTGCCTACCGATATGCTCAAGGAAATAAATTTTTTCACAGTTTGATAACTTGAACAGTTTGCTTAGAAAAACTTAAACTCTGCAATATTTTTCAATGATTTCATTGCTTGTATGGCAGATAAAAAAGCCTGAATTTTTTGCAATCCCATTCGCTTCATGAAATAACTTGAAATATTTCAAGTTTTTTTGCTTGAACAACTTGAATAGGAAGACTCTGTTTTTTTTGCAAAACGATAATTGAGTTTTTTACGATTATATAAATTGAAATATGGATAATGAACACAGCGCGACTATGAAAAATCGCGTGATCGTGCGATGCCCACCCAACAAACTTAGTGATCTATAAAACGTATGTGTGCGTCACTGCTTCGGCTTTGTCATCCAGAAGTATGATTTTAATAATCCTGAAATCAGATTAACCGTGAAATAAGGTTATTTCGTGAGAAACTAAAAAAACTAATCTCCGGCGGGATTCGAACCTGCGACCTCTGGATTACAAGTTCAGCGCGCTAACCTTTGCGTTACGGAGACGTAGCATATCTTTGAGTAGAAAACTCGAACCTTAGTCAAAGGTGGCATAAAACATACCGTAAACGAACCAACCGCGAAACATTCGACTCAGCTCTTTTTCCTCCCTCCTGTCGCACAACCAATAAAGAGCCATATACATTCTCGGTTACAAAAAAGTTCGACAAAAATACCGCCGGACACTTTTTCACTCCCCACTCCCGACATTTAAAATGTTCAGTTTTTCAGTTGTCTTACTCAGTTGATAACCTTCTTTATAGAAAACATTTATTAAACATGATCATTAAAGACATGATTCTTGAGATGCGAAGACAACGTATAGCGTTTGCGTGGGAAGTGTTGTGGTAACATTTGGACACTTCAAAACATCAACAAAATAGAAATTTATAACCGCATGATGCAAGAACCTACTTTTTTATCGCATTCATATTAACACAATATACAAACTCTACTATCGAACAGCAAAAGTGTAAAGGTCACAAAAAACGTGAGTTACTTCTAGCTTTGAAAATGGAATTCATTTATTTCTTTTCCCAGTGAAACAAATTTAATTATTGACCCTGTTTTCTCAAATTTGGTTAGTTTTGTCATAAAACTGTCACTCGTAAAGTATTCTGGAAAGTGGAGGAGTTTTGAGGCCATATCTTCTTTTTTATTAAATGAAAGACATGTTTCCAGCATAAGGTCTAATGACTAAGACGCTATCGAGCACAACCGACGTTTAAAACAGCTTCTATCAAAAATTCTAAGAATCATCCAGTCTAGAGCATTCCAGAATTTAAAAAAATTGAATTTCTGGTCTACTTGTTATTCAAAAATTTTTCGTTCACAGATTCATTTCTGTCTGAAACTAATCAACTTAAAACAGCAATCTCCATGCTTAGAAAAATTACTGATTGATGATTCACGCTAAGAAATTACTTGAATTAATTCAAATTTGAACAGCTTGATTACCTTGCTTGTAAAAGTTTAAGCTTAGCTTCTCATGAACCTAATCGGTCTATGGTATAACTCTTTTTTCAAATTTTCATAACTTGAATACTTGCTTAGAAAAAATTAAATTTTCACGAGGCGATTTATTCTTTGATATAACATGAAATTTCTCCAAGTTTTAAAGCTGGAATAGCTTGCTTAGAAAAACTTCAACTTTTCTCGAACCGATTTGGTCGGTGAAATAGCTAATTTGTACCTTAAATAGTTTGCTTCAGAAAAATTTACTGATTTACTTTGTGAAATGAATTGAAGTGTTTTGGAGTATCAATGCTTGCATAGCTTGGATACGAAAACTTGAGTTTTTGGCAAACCGGTTTGGTCTAAGAACTAACTTTGCATTACTTCAACGCCTGAATGGCTTCAATAGAAAAACGTGAATTTTCTGCCTACCGATATGCTCAAGGAAATAACTTGAAATGTGTCACAGTTTCATAGCTTGAACAGCTTGCTTCGAAAAACTTAAGCTCTGCAATAATTTTCAATGATTTCATTGCTTGTATGGCAGATAAAAAAAAACCTGAATTTTTCGCAATTCTATTCGCTTTATGAAATAACTTGAAAAATTTCAAGTTTTGTTTGCTTGAACAACTTGAATAGGAAAACTCTATTTTTTTACAAAACGATAATTGAGTTTTTTACGATTATAGAAATTCAAATATGGATAATGAACACAGCGCGACTATGAAAATCGCGTGATCGTGCGATGCCCACCCAACAAACTTAGTGTTCTATAAAACGTATGTGTGCGTCACTGCGTCGGCTTTGTCATTAAAAAGTATGATTTTAAAAATTCTGAAATCGGATTAACCGTGAAATAAGGTTATTTCGTGAAAAACTAAAAACTCATCTCCGGTGGGATTCGAACCCGCGACCTCTGGATTAGAAGTCCAGCGCGCTATCCACTGCGCTACCGAGACATAGGATATCATTGAGTAGAAAATTCGAATCTTAGTCAAATGTGGCATAAAACATACCGTAAACGAACCAACCGCGAAACATTCGACTCAGCTCTTCATCCTCCATTCTGTCGCACAACCAATAAAAAGCCATATACATTCTGGGTAAAAAAAAACTTCGACGAAAATACCATTGGACTCTTTTTCACTCCCCCACTCCCGACATTTAAAGTTCTCAGTTTTTCAGTTGTCTTACTCAGTTGATAACCTTCTTTATAGAAAATTTTTATTAAACAAGATCATTAAAAACATGATTCTTGAAATGCGAAGACAACCTATAGCGTTTGCGTGGCAAGTGTAGCGGTAACATTTGAACACTTCAAAACATCAACAAAATAGAAATTTATAACCGCATGATGCAAGAACCTACTTTTTTATCGCATTCATATTAACACAACATACAAACTCTACTATCGAACAGCAAAAGTGTAAAGGTCACAAAAACGTGAGTGACTTGTAATTTTGAAAATGGAATTCATTTATTTCTGTTCCCAGTGAAACAAATTTACTTATTGACCCTGTTTTCTCAAATTTGGTTAGTTTTGTCATAAAACTGTCACTCGTAAAGTATTCTGGAAAGTGGAGGAGTTTTGAGGCCATATCTTCTTTTTTATTGAATGAAAAACATATTTCCAGCATAAGGTCTAATGACTAAGACGCTATCGAGCACAACCGACGTTTAAAACAGCTTCTATCAAAATTTCTAAGAATCATTCAGTCTAGAACATTCCAGAATTTAAAAAAAAATTGAATTTCTTGTCTACTTGTTATTCAAAAAATTTTCGTTCACAGATTCATTTCTGTCTGAAACTAATCAACTTAAAACAGCAATCTCCATGCTTAGAAAAATTACTGATTGATGATTCACGCTAAGAAATAACTTGAATTAGTTCAAATTTGAACAGCTTGATTACCTTGCTTGTAAAAACTTAAGCTTAGCTTCTCATGAACCTAATCGGTCTATGGTATAACTTTTTTTTCAAATTTAAATTCTCGAACCGATTTCTCGAACCGATTTGGTCGGTGAAATAGCTAATTTGTACCTTAAATAGTTTGCTTCAGAAAAATTTACTGATTTACTTTGTGAAATGAATTGAAGTGTTTTGGAGTATCAATGCTTGCATAGCTTGGATACGAAAACTTGAGTTTTTGGCAAACCGGTTTGGTCTAAGAACTAACTTTGCATTACTTCAACGCCTGAATGGCTTCAATAGAAAAACGTGAATTTTCTGCCTACCGATATGCTCAAGGAAATAACTTGAAATGTGTCACAGTTTCATAGCTTGAACAGCTTGCTTCGAAAAACTTAAGCTCTGCAATAATTTTCAATGATTTCATTGCTTGTATGGCAGATAAAAAAAAACCTGAATTTTTCGCAATTCTATTCGCTTTATGAAATAACTTGAAAAATTTCAAGTTTTGTTTGCTTGAACAACTTGAATAGGAAAACTCTATTTTTTTACAAAACGATAATTGAGTTTTTTACGATTATAGAAATTCAAATATGGATAATGAACACAGCGCGACTATGAAAATCGCGTGATCGTGCGATGCCCACCCAACAAACTTAGTGTTCTATAAAACGTATGTGTGCGTCACTGCTTCGGCTTTGTCATTAAAAAGTATGATTTTAAAAATTTTGAAATCGGATTAACCGTGAAATAAGGTTATTTCGTGAAAAACTAAAAACTCATCTCCGGTGGGATTCGAACCCGCGACCTCTGGATTAGAAGTCCAGCGCGCTATCCACTGCGCTACGGAGACATAGGATATCATTGAGTAGAAAATTCGAATCTTAGTCAAATGTGGCATAAAACATACCGTAAACGAACCAACCGCGAAACATTCGACTCAGCTCTTCATCCTCCATTCTGTCGCACAACCAATAAAAAGCCATATACATTCTGGGTAAAAAAAAAACTTCGACGAAAATACCATTGGACTCTTTTTCACTCCCCCACTCCCGACATTTAAAGTTCTCAGTTTTTCAGTTGTCTTACTCAGTTGATAACCTTCTTTATAGAAAATTTTTATTAAACAAGATCATTAAAAACATGATTCTTGAAATGCGAAGACAACCTATAGCGTTTGCGTGGCAAGTGTAGCGGTAACATTTGAACACTTCAAAACATCAACAAAATAGAAATTTATAACCGCATGATGCAAGAACCTACTTTTTTATCGCATTCATATTAACACAACATACAAACTCTACTATCGAACAGCAAAAGTGTAAAGGTCACAAAAACGTGAGTGACTTGTAATTTTGAAAATGGAATTCATTTATTTTTGTTCCCAGTGAAACAAATTTACTTATTGACCCTGTTTTCTCAAATTTGGTTAGTTTTGTCATAAAACTGTCACTCGTAAAGTATTCTGGAAAGTGGAGGAGTTTTGAGGCCATATCTTCTTTTTTATTGAATGAAAAACATATTTCCAGCATAAGGTCTAATGACTAAGACGCTATCGAGCACAACCGACGTTTAAAACAGCTTCTATCAAAATTTCTAAGAATCATTCAGTCTAGAACATTCCAGAATTTAAAAAAAATTGAATTTCTTGTCTACTTGTTATTCAAAAAATTTTCGTTCACAGATTCATTTCTGTCTGAAACTAATCAACTTAAAACAGCAATCTCCATGCTTAGAAAAATTACTGATTGATGATTCACGCTAAGAAATAACTTGAATTAGTTCAAATTTGAACAGCTTGATTACCTTGCTTGTAAAAACTTAAGCTTAGCTTCTCATGAACCTAATCGGTCTATGGTATAACTTTTTTTTCAAATTTAAATTCTCGAACCGATTTCTCGAACCAATTTGGTCGGTGAAATAGCTAATTTGTACCTTAAATAGCTTGCTTCAGAAAAACTTACTGATTTACTTTGTGAAATGAATTGAAGTGTTTTGGAGTATCAGTGCTTGCATAGCTTGGATACGAAAACTTGAATTTTTGGCAAACCGGTTTGGTCTAATAACTAACTTTGCATTACTTCAACGCCTGAATGGCATCAATAGAAAAACGTGAATTTTCTGCCTACCGATATGCTCAAGG